TACTTGCTCCCAGAACAGCAACACTCTCACACCCAAGGCATAGCACTCTGAACAACAACACTCTCACAGCCAAGTATAACACTCCCAGAACAGCAACACTCTCACAACCAAGTGCCTTTCAAACCAACACAAACACTCTCCACAGCCTTAAGTATACTTGCTCCCAGAACACTTCTTACTCTCCACAGCCAAGTATAACACTCGAAAACAACTTACTCTCAGCCAAGTATAACCTCCCAGAACAGCAACACTCTCACAGCCATGTATAACCTCCCAAACACAACACTCTCCACCGATGTACTTGCTTGCTCCCCAGAACAACAACACTCTCACACCTACCTAACCTCCCAAACAGCAACACTCTCCACCCATGGCCATAACCTCTGGGCAACACTCTCATGCTATAACACTCCCAGAACCTACAACCTTCTCCTCCACCCATGTATACTTGCTCCCCCAAGAGAACAACACTCTCACACCCATGTATAACACTCCCAGAACAGCAACACTCTCACAATATATTTTACCCCAGAACATGCTCACAGCCATGTATAACCTCCCAGACAACCTCTCACAGCCATATGTACTCTGGAAAAACAACACTCTCACAGCCATGTATAACCTCCCACAACTTAATAACACTCTCACAGCCATGTATAACACTTCCAGAACAACAACACTCTCATGTGTATAACCTCCCACAACATGCTTGCTCTCACATGCATGTATGTACTCCCCATGTATCTCCACGTATAACACTCCCCAGAACAGCAACACTCTCCACATGTATAACATCCCCTAACAACAACACTCTCACAGCCATGTATAACACTCCCAGAACAACCAACTTATCTCCTGAATATATATGTACTCCCACAACAACCTCTCCCACAGCCATAATATGCCTCCCCCTGGCCAACAACCTCTCAGCCATGTATAACACTCCCACAACAACCTCCTCTGTGATATAACCTCCCCCCAACACTTGCTTACTCTCACAACCATGTATAACCTCCCCTAGCAACCTCTCCCACACATCATGTATAACACTCCCCTATGTAACACTCTCACAACCATGCTGCCTCCCAAACAACAACACTCTCCACACACCCATGTATAACACTCCCACACCAGCAACACTCCACAGTATAACACTCCCAGAACAGCAACACTCTCACAGCCAAGGTATAACACTCCCAGAACAGCAACACTCTCACAGCCATGTTATAACGCTCCCAGAACAGCAACACTCTCACAGCCATGTATAACACTCCCAGAACAACAACACTCTCACAGCCATGTATAACACTCCCAGAACAGCAACACTCTCACAGCCATGTATAACACTCCCAGAACAGCAACACTCTCACAGCCATGTATAACACTCCTTCCTTAACACAACACTCAGTCCTATATAGAAACACTACACAAATATAACACCTGTTTACTCTGCGTGTTCAAGGGCCGCAGTGACGCCATTGTTCGTGTAAGGAGGACCATTTGTTGTTGTTTTTTCCTTTCTCTCTATTTCTCACGTATGAGAGAGAGAGAGAGAGAGAGAGGGAGAAAGAGAGAGTTTCATTCTCGGCTCAAAAGGTTACACAGCCCTAGGGAGCCGCCCCCTCTTTCCTCCTTTGTTGATGTAATGGCCAATATATTCTCTCTCTCTCTCTCTCTTCTTCATCCCGCTCTCCTCCTTTTCTTACTTACTCTATTCTCCTCCCTCCCATCTTCATCCCATTCGTCTCCCTCCCTCTTTATCAATTTTTCCTCTCTCCCTCTCTTCTTCTCCTTTCCCGGTTCCTCCTCCTCTCCCGGAAGTAGAGCCACGGTCTTATAGATATGAAATTTCTATATTTTCCAGTGAGACCTTAATCGGATTTTTGAGGGAGTGTTGGAGGGAAGAGAAATATGTATGGGGCTTTTAGAGTGTTGGAGGGAAGATAGATATTTGGGCCCATTTTCTGGAACGGGGTGGTAATATCGACAATATATACCTGGGTTTTGCCAAGGCTTTCGACAGTGTACCCAACGAAAGGCTGAAAATCAAACTGGAAGGGTACGGAATTCGGGGAAATGTCCTAGCGTGGATAGAAGACTTTCTACATGACCGCAAGCAGTGTGTGGAGAGTAATGGTACGAAATCGTCATCTGTACCTGTCACAAGGGGGTACCACAGGGCAGTGTATTGGGCCCGCTGTTGTTTGTTTGTTTCATAAATGACATGCCTGACGTTGTACACTCCTCCATACAAATGTTTGCCGATGGCGCCAAGTTATTTCGGGAAATCAAAAACCATGCGGACTGTGAAGAGCTGCAGAAGGATCTCTGTGAGCTCCAGGAATAGTCGAAGAAATGGCTACTGAGATTCAATATCACGAAGGAGGCGTATCATATGTCCTAACGAGATGAAGAAACTGCACTATTTGAGACTGAATGTGAGAAGGACCTAGGTGTGTATGTTGACAATGAGCTGAAGTTCTCGGGCCATTGCGAGAAGAAGGTAAATCAGGCAAATAAATTATTGGGTCTTATAAGAAGATCGTTCAGATGGCTAGACAGTCCGTCCGTCGTAACGATCTTCAAGAGCGAAGTACTTCCCCATCTGGAGTAGTGTCACCCTGTCTGGTCCCCGAGATATGCTAGGGTCTGTCAGTTGGTTGGAAATGTTCAAAGGAGGGCCACCAGACTGGTGCCTGCACTTCGGCACCTCAACTACCCTGAGAGATTGGAACGCTTGAACTTCCCTAGCTTATACTACAGAAGGGCAAGGGGTGACCGAATAGAGGTGTATAAGCATCTCAAGGGGCACTACTCAGTCGAGTGTCCTTACTTGGAACATAAGAACATAAGAAAATAAGGAGTCTGCAATAGGCCGGTTGGCCTGTGCATGGCAGCTCCTGTCGAGAGTTACTACCACTCTCTATCATCCATGAATCTATCCAGTCTCCTTTTGAAACTTTCCAGCGTTCCAGCACTTACTACATAATTGCTAAGCCTGTTGCTGGGGGACGCTCGCCCCACAAGGGGTCACAGCTCAAGATTGAAGAAGCCGCAGGTCCCGAAAACTGTGAGGGCAAACTTTTTCAGAGTGAGAGTTGTGAACTCTTGGAACAATCTACCAGAAAGTGTTGTGACGGTACCGAGTGTGAGCTCTTTCAAGACAAGACTTGACCAACACTGGAGCGGGTTCAGGTACATCCAGGAGCCGGTGCATGCCCAGTACTTGCCAACAGTACGTAACACAGAGGTGACCGATCGTCCAAGTTGCTAACGAGCCGATCAATTGGTGAAGATGATAAAAGAAAAGAAAAGTAACAGAGACGTGACCGATCGCCCAAGCGGCTAACGAGCCGATCAGTGGTAAAGAGGATAAAAATATATCCTGCAATAAAAATATGTCGGAGCTTTTATGGAGTGTTGGAGGGAAGAGAGATATGTGTCGGGGCTTTTGTACATTGTTGGAGGGAAGAGAGATATGTGTTGGAGCTTTTGTAGAGTGTTGGAGGGAAGAGAGATATGTGATGGAGCTTTTGTAGAGTGTTGGAGAGAAGAGAGATATGTGATGGGGTTTTTGAGGAGCGTTGGAGAGATTTAAACAAAAAATACAATATTTATAAACCTTTTGTACGAATAATCTTCTCAAAACTTCTACCTAAACTTCTCAGGTATAGGTAATATTGCTCCCCTTATCACAGCATTCACAGCATCAGTATAAACTCTCAGCTGAACTTCTCACTCGTGGGAGAGCCAGAGGTAAAGTTTGGATGAGTGCAAAATTGAACGGTCAACTCAACTTTGCCGCTGCTCTTGTGGTTGTCAAGTCCAGCTGAAAACTTTTTAAGGAGTTAGATTCTTAGTCGCGACACACTCTTGTGAAGGGAAATGTGGGGCGCGTAGTGTTAAAAGGTCTTGCATTAAGTAACTGTATTTAAAAACCAACCCAAGTACATAACCTATATCTTCACGACCACATAAAACAACAACCTAACCTAACCTAACCTAACCTAACCTAACCTAACCTAACCTAACCTAACCCAACCTAACCAAATAAACTCTTTATTTGGAAATTTATTTAAGGTATATTGGCGAGGCCTTTATATAATATTAATCTGAGGAAGATCTTTTGTTGTTCATAGATTTCTTGTGTTCTAAGCACTTAGTCGTTCCATTCATAAAAGCTGTTTAGAGTAGAGACGATCTGCCAACCTTCTCATCACAAATCTCTCATGAGGTAATGCATATACTGTAAGTCTCTGCTTCAACACCTCGTGAACCTATAATAATCTCTTTACATATATTTCAAAATGGGTGAACTTTAACTATGGGAATTTTGTAGTTGTTTTACTTTTACAGTTTGTTTTATTGTATGTTAAGTCGAGGTGTTGGTGGCCACAATCCTCAACAAGACCCTGGATTCATACAGTAAACAACCTCATTACTGCTATGATCACGTATCACTTCACCTTGTTTGACCTGTTTAATTCACGTATACATTTTGTTTGCTTGACTTCTTAAACCTTTTACTTATTTGTACTGTTTATTCTACTTGATTATCCTCCATAATTCGTTTGCTTAAACTAATCAAATCTCATACATAACAAGGTTACTTGCTTTGCTTGAGTACAAACATTAATACGTTTGATTATCTTGTTTAATACTCGTACTCACCTCTCTTGCCTGATCTGCATTATTCTCTTACTTGATTTATTTGTTTGATTGATTACCATAAATATGTACTCGCTTGCTTAACCTTCATAAATTCCTACTAAACGCGCTCTCTTAAACGTTGATTCCTTGCTTGAGTGGGTATGATAGCTTGACTTGCTTATATGCTTGCTTCCTTGTTTAAGTAAAGCTGGAAATGAGTTTTGCTGAACTCTCTCTCTCTCTCTCTCTCTCTCTCTCTCTCTTTCCTTCAATTCCCGCCTTTTTTATCAACAACTTCAATTTTTTAAGTCAACGCTTCATCTCACGCTGTTCTCTCCCCTCCCCTGAAGGTCACACTCAGGGTCGGGATCAGGATTATCAATTCCTCTTCAAACTTTGTCCAAATCATCGCCACAGTTTAGAAGGTAAGTAGATAATGAGGATGGAGACCTATGTTTATTAGTGCACGTAATTATAAGTGTAATGTGTACGTAATTAGACTAAAGTGTACGTAATTAGAGTAAAGTGTACGTAATTGGGTAAAGTGTAATGTAATTAGGGTAAAATGTAAGTAAGTATAAGTGTAAAGTGTACGGAATTAGGGAAAAGTGTACGTAATTAGTGTAAAGTATACGTAATTAGGGTAAAGTGTACGTAATTAGGGTAAAGTGCACGTAATTATAGTAAAGTGTACGTAATTAGGGTAGAGTACGTAATTAGGGTAGAGTGTGCGTGATTAGGGTAGAGTACGTAATTATTAGGGTAGAGTGTATGTAACTATAAGTGTAAAGTGTACGTAATTAGGTTAGAGTACGTAATTATTAGTGTAAAGTGTACGTAATTATTAGGGTAGAGTGTACGTAATTAGGGTTAAGTGTACGTAATTATAAGTGTAAAGTGTACGTAATTAGGGTTAAGTGTACGTAATTATAAGTGTAAAGTGTACGTAATTAGGGTTAAGTGTACGTAATTATAAGTGTAAAGTGTACGTAATTGTAAGTTTTAAGTGTATACCCATAATCCTCCCTTAAGTGTACAGTATGTACAGATGAAGAGTGAAACGCTAGACCTAAAGTAATATTCTTCAAGTGAGAAAATTTATAAGTGTTTAGTTTAACGGAACCCTCCCCCATTGCCAACCACTTCAATGAATATTTTATTAATGTTGGCAAAAATCTTGCAGAGAGCATCCCTGATCACCATGAAGAATTTAGAGCCTACCTGCAAAACAGACAGCAAAATGAGCTGTTCTTATCCCCTGTCACAGCAGATGAATTACTGGCCATCATAAAAATGTCTAAAGATGCAGCAGCAGGCGAAGACAATATACCAATGAGCATCATTAAGAAAGTAACCCACATTTGTAACTCCTCCTTCACTAGTGGTGTCTTTCCTGATAAACTGAAAATTGCTAAAGTCCACCCGGCATATAAAAAATCTGGGGACAAAGGTCTCTTCAAGAATTACCGCCCCATATCAGTCCTTCCAGCCTTGAGTAAGATACTGGAAAAGCTAGCGTGTAATAGACTAAATTCCTTCTACAATGCCAATAACATCTTTGCAGACTCCCAGTTTGGATTTAGAGCTAGAAGGTCGACTGAGAGTGCTCTGCTATCCTTTACTAATGACATCTTAAATTCCTTTGATGATAGTCAGTTCACAGTCGGTATATTCTTGGACCTCTCTAAAGCCTTCGATACTGTCGACCATACCATCCTCCTTTCAAAGCTTGAACATTACGGCGTTAGGGGCCTGTCCCACAATTGGTTTACCTCATATCTGTCCAACAGGATGCAGTATGTTTGCTATAATAACCACCAATCTGACTCCTTGCCAATCTTGTATGGAGTCCCCCAAGGTTTAATTCTCGGTCCAGTACTGTTTTTGTTGTACATAAAAGACATAGTCCACGCCAGCTCACTCATAAAATACAACTTATTTGCAGACGATAGTAATCTCTATGCCAGCAACTCAGACCCCCATTCCTTGATGAGAACTATGAACACTGAATTAACTAAAGTCGGGACCTGGGTAATAAGTAATAAATTGACCTTAAACCTTGAGAAAACCCACTACACTATCTTTCACAGAAGGAAAAACTTACCCCCAGACTTGGACCCCCTGTACCTTGGTAATATAGTCCTCAAACGCGAAAAAAATACTAAATTCCTCGGAGTTATTGTTGATGAGAAACTTAACTGGAGAAACCACATACAAGCCATTCACAGTAAAATCAATAAACAGTGCGGTATCATGTATCACACTCGACAGTCACTCACTCTCACAGCAATGAAAGAAATCTATCATGATCTTGTTTACCAACACCTGATACACTGTCAGATACTATGGGGGGCCTCTGGCTCTTCAGAAAAACAAAATCTCTGGTTACTGCACAAAAGAGAGTTGTACGGACAATGACCTACTTGAAAAAACAGATCACACAAACGAAAAATTTGCTATAATGAATTTTTTTTTAAATTCGAAGATATTAACACTTACTGCTGTGCCCTCTTTGTTTACAAATCTATCAATCACTTGCTTGACAATAGTTATTTCCAGTTCCGGAATAATCAGAGAAACAACTTAAGGCAACCAGAGCTACTAAGACCACCCCTCATGTGCTCCTCTCAGTCCCAGACCTCCATAAAATATCATGGTGTGAAGGTGTGGAACAACTTACCCCTACACATCCGAGCAAAGACTACCCTCCCTTCCTTTAAGTCATCTCTTAAAAAATATCTATTGTCGAAGTGTTAATATTTCTTGTAACACTTACTATATTTACAGTACCTGCTTTTATTGTACCATCAAAACCGTTTTATCGGAAATTATCATGTAAATATATAAGTAATTACCATTGCAATAAACACAATTGCCAACTAGACATAATCCTGACAGCTCTGTCCTCTTGTTCAACCTTATTACTGTACAACCCAGGTTGTACTGCTCCCCCATTATACTTATATTTTTCAATTCCCCTGTAATTTATATATATGTGTGTGTGTGTGTGTGTGTGTGTGTGTGTGTGTGTGTATGTATGTATATATAAATAAATAAGTAAATAATAAATAAAAAATAATAATAAATAAATAAAATAAATAAATATTGAAGAGATAACCGTGGTAACATTATGAGATGTACTTATTACGACCATGCTATTGTACTATTCCAGATGATACTAAATTTTACATAATACTTCCTTGAGATAAATGTATAGTATTATCAGGTGCCTCAAAGAGAGCTCAGGTTCTCACTGGCTCAGCTATGTTAATATTGTTATTATCATCCACTCTGTATCTGTATTTTTCTGGCTAAATAAACTGCTTCAATTCAATTCAATTGTTTATAAAAAATGAGGATGTGAAGGGAAATTCCTAATCCCCAGTCACTTATACTCACTTGTAAGTTTATATAGATAAGTAGAGAGGCTGAAAAGTATAGGTAGTACGATTCACTTGTCTAGTAAAGTATATTCTTCTGTTACTTTATGTGTATTATTAACGTACTTTTGACTTATGTGTTTACTTAAGAGTATTATAGAAGTCAAAGGCAGATAAGTGTTATTGTCCGGAGAGCTGAAGTATTCCTGAATGTATGTTAGTACACACACATACACACACACACACACACACCAAACTACAATAAACTACCATATTCTACCATAAACTACCATAAAGTAACAAACTACCACAAACGACCATAATCTACCATAAACTACTATATTCTACCACAAACTACTATAATCTACCATGAACTACCATAAACTACCATAATCTACCATAAACTACCATATTCTACTACAAACTACTATAATCTACCATGAACTACCATAAACTACCATAAACTACCATAAACTACCATAACCTACCATCATCTACCATAAACTATCATATTCTACCATAAACTACCATAAACTACCATAAACTACCATAATCTACCATAAACTACCATATTCTACCATAAACTACCATAATCTACCATGAACTACCATAATCTACCATAAACTACCATATTCTACCATAAACTACCATAATCTACCATGAACTACCATAAACTACCATAAACTACCACATTCTACCATAAGCTACCATAATCTACCATAAACTACCATATTCTACCATAAACTACCATAAACTACCAAATTCTACCATAAACTACCATAAACTACCATAAACTACCATATTCTACCATAAACTACCATAAACTACCATATTCTACCATAAGCTACCATAATCTACCATAAACTACCATAAACTACCATAAACTACCATAAACTACCATAAACTACCATAATCTACCATAACAACCAAAACACCTCTTAAAACTCTTTCCAAAATAAAACTTGCTAAACCAAGACATGAATTAAAGCCAAGATTCGTCTGGCAAAGTGATTGTTTCAGAGAGATTCATTACGTCATGTGGTTGTTACAGAGAGATTCATTACGTCATGTGGTTGTTTCAGAGAGATTCATTACGTCATGTGGTTGTTTCAGAGAGATTCATTACGTCATGTGGTTGTTTCAGAGAGATTCATTACGTCATGTGGTTGTTTCAGATAGATTCATTACGTCATGTGGTTGTTTCAGAGATTCATTACGTCATGTGGTTGTTTCAGAGATTCATTACGTCATGTGGTTGTTTCAGCGAGATTCATTACGTCATGTTCATTCAGAGAGATTCATTACGTCATGTTCTTTCAGAGAGATTCATTACGTCATGTTCTTTCAGCGAGATTCATTACGTCATGTTCATTCAGAGAGATTCATTACGTCATGTTCATTCAGAGAGATTCATTACGTCATGTTCATTCAGAGAGATTCATTACGTCATGTTCATTCAGCGAGATTCATTACGTTATATTCTTTCAGAGAGATTCATTACGTCATGTTCATTCAGAGAGATTCATTACGTTATATTCTTTCAGCGAGATTCATTACGTTATATTCTTTCAGAGAGATTCATTACGTCATGTTCTTTCAGCGAGATTCATTACGTTATATTCTTTCAGCGAGATTCATTACGTCATGTTCATTCAGAGAGATTCATTACGTTATATTCATTCAGAGAGATTCATTACGTTATATTCTTTCAGCGAGATTCATTACGTCATGTTCATTCAGAGAGATTCATTACGTCATGTTCATTCAGCGAGATTCATTACGTTATATTCTTTCCAACGATTTCATTACGTCATGTTCATTCAGAGATTCATTACGTTATATTCTTCCAGCAGATTCATTACGTCATGTTCATTCAGCGAGATTCATTACGTTATATTCTTTCAGAGAGATTCATTACGTCATGTTCATTCAGAGAGATTCATTACGTTATATTCTTTCAGCGAGAGATTCATTACGTCATGTTCTTTCAGAGAGATTCATTACGTCATGTTCTTTCAGCGAGATTCATTACGTCATGTTCTTTC